TGAAATGCTTGCTTACAAGCCTTTCCCGCTTTCAAGATCGTTCCCGCACCTGCTGAACTCAGCCAAGCCACACAAACACGCCTTACCACTCGGCCAGCCTTGAGACCGCCGCATCGGGGAGGTTGTGGCGCCTGCGGATGCTGGGACATGATTCTATGTGGCTGTAGAAAACCGCGAGACAGGTTCTGGTAAGCTCTGACCACGACTTGACTTGCCTCTTTCCAGGAACAGTCTCATGATGGGGTTGTATTCAATCTGCGATTGTTTATTTGCTGCTGGTCGAGCGGATAATCTCGACCTCGACCAATTCGACGATAGAGATCCCAAGTGTGGCAGATACGCTAAGGCTGTTGTCCGGCATCGCCCTAGCTGCCGTGACCCCTAGCTCTCGCTTCAAGCGATCTAGCGGCCGGCTTTCGTTCAGCCCGCGTGAAAAGGCGGGTCGATGCTATCACGCTCCTTTCAACAGCAATCACCTGCAATTTGTCACCTCGTGACTGGCCAAAGATGTCGTCAACTGTGACGTCGTCATCGTCGTCATCGTAGGGCTCGGGCGAGAAGAAGGACGAATTTTCGTATCATTCAATCTTCGCAGCGAATGTCGTCACCGTTGCGCTCAAGATTGCGCGTGGTCGACGCTAATTTAGCGTGCGCCAGATAGCTGGAGCCGCGCTAACAGACGCACTTGCAGGCACAACATGCTCCTTCTGCAGCTTGGCGCGCTTCGAGCAGGTCACGTTCAGAACGAAAATTGCTCGGAGAGGAATCAAGAATGGAGAAGTACGAATCGAAAATGGGTGCGAGGACTGCGTAACAAGTCGTACGTCTCGCATGACGACCAAGTTGCCAGCACAGTAGTCAAAAAGTAATAAATATGAGTCAAGAGCTGGAATCAGGAGAGCTGGACACGTGCCTCCGTGGGGTCTCTTGCGCACATCGCAGTGCCATAAAACAGCTCCACGTGACACCAGACTACTTCTTCCACAAGCCATGCTTCACGCTTCCAGTGTGATGGGAGCAGCGCTCTGTTGCGAGCGTCTCTCCATACAAGTAGCTCATCAAGGAGCTGGGTCTTCTATCAGGGCAAAAAGATCGCTCGTCGTGAATCACTGTCATTAGGTGGAATCCACCAACTAGAAAAGAGTCGAAAGTGCTTCCCTGTCCTGGTGACCTCCCTATTTCAATAATGCCGCTAGCTAGGCTACAGCTCGCAGACTCTTGAGTTCGGCAGGTTCCCAGCTGATACATGAGATCGACACTGCTCACAGACTCTTTGAAGCGAAGGACGGCAACAGACATGGCCGCGTGTGTGCGCAAACAGGAGTAAAAAGCGTCAATACCCATCAAGAGTCTCTTGAGTCGCGGCGCCGAATCGATCAGAGTGGGCTCACGTGATACAAATTGTCGTGTGGAGGATGCGCCGCTTCGCACGTTCTTCTCGTGCATGCATCTCGTCTAGACTCATCACCCACCTTCGTTGCCAGCACCTCTTCAAAAGGTTACTAAATTCAACGTTCCTTGTCCGCCTCCAACCGTTCTCGCCATCATACTGGAGCACTGCATCAGGTCGCAATCAAAATTGCTCGTCTCAATCTATAATCCGTAACGTCCAAGATACATGCTCTTGCGACGACAGATCAGGCGACTCTGCGCATTACCTCAGACCCACCGCAGCCCGCTCAATCACAACGCAGCATTCACTCGGGCCCCTGCTCCTGCAAATAGGAACAGCCCCGCCGACGCCGCGTTTCGCAAGCGCCACTTCATCCAAACGTCCCAGCCTTTCCTGCCACATAGAAAATCGGCGCCTCGTCGACAAGCACCATTTTCAACCGTTAGGACAATGCCTCCCAAGCTGGATTTAGGTCCAGAGCGCGCCATTGCCTCTGAGGTCGGCGCGCGGGACACCGCGTCGCTCGTCAAACGCTTTAGCGAGGCGCCAATCTCCCAAACTGGCCCGCTCGTTGACAACACAGCTCATTCCATCGTCATTGCGGCTCTGGCCAGACCAGAAGAGGTAGAGTCCATTGTAGACTTTGCAATCGAATTAGTGCCGAAACTCCAGGAAGTCAAAGAAGCCTACCCTTCCCTCGCAAGGGATCGGACTTTTTTGTCCGCTCCACGCCCTTCTGTCCGAGGAGCTGGTGAAGCATTGCGAGCTGCATTGACTTGTGAGCTCCATACCGCTATCTTGCGAGCGTCTCAGCTGGAGTCGACTCCGCAGGAAGAGGAGCAAGACCGAGCGGGCCTGCCACGCGCATATTGGTACAACATTGTCAGCCACGCTCTGCTGGCTTCGCGGTTATTCGCCAAAGGTGACGCTATCTGGAAAGAGGGCCTGTGGCCGTTGATTCAAGACGCTCTACAGCGCTCCTTGTTCTCGCACGGCGCCACGACGTACGGCTCGGTAGCTGTCAACGCCGTCTTGTTCCACGGAGCAGGTGCAAGCTTAAAGGCCTATTTGGCCCCGCAAGGTCAGCGCACCGGTCTGGGAGACAAGTTTGTCTGGTACGATGGCGAGGCGAAGGACCAAAACGCGGAATGGGGCTGGGAAGACGTGCGAGTGCGCTTGACTGCCGGTGCGAGCGCAGCAGATCGTTCTGCTGCCTCGGACGACAAGACCGGTATTTTCCAGCACATTCTGCAGGTGTACGACGCCACCGCCTCGCGCTTCCTAGACAATGCACCGCCAGAATCGATCGAGGATGCCGATGCAAAAACAATCTACAGCTCGTGGGCTTGGCTGCCACAAGCGCAGAACAGCTCCGAAGAAGGCTTTGGCAAATTCTCCAACCCTGTAGACGTGGCCGAGTCGACTCGAGCTCTTGCCGAACTGTCACGTCGCGTGCAGCAGCTCTCCGAAGTCGTACAATCTTGCGAGTCTCGAAGATGGCAAGGTGGTGTTGGCGATGCCAAGGCCTTACACGGGATTGCTGAGGAGGTGGAGCGTCTGGAAGAGAAATTGAAAGGGGCTTGGCAATAAAAATGGCGGTGTAGACCATGTGCGGAGCGCTTTGATGCACTCCACATGT